GGCGCCTGTGATCCCAGCTACTTGGGAGGCCGAGGCAGGAGACTCGCTTGAGCCCCAGGAGTTGGAGGTTGCTGTGAGCTGAAATGCCATGGCACTCTACCCAGGGGGACAGCTTAAAGCTCCTGTCTCAAAAAAAAGAAACAAAACCCCAAAAAACGTATCTTTTGTTGGCTTTGAATTTCTATTTCCTCTTTGGTAGGAAGTTTGAAAAGTGAAGACAAAGCCTTTTCTTACAACGTTAAGAGATAAATAGCTAAAAATCGTATCTCCCAGCCCTACATTTAATGCCATTTTAGTCTCTGTGGAGGTCTTACCCTTCAGTTAGATTGCTACTGTAACATTTGTTAACATAGTTGATGTTCTATACTATTTAGATTTCTGTCTTTTTAAAACTTATTTTGGAATAACTTCAAAAGATTACATACATTATACTCCTTTACCCCTTAATACTTTACTGCAAATTTTCAGAACAAGGATATCTTATGTAATAGATGGCCATCACGTTTAGAAAGTATAAAATTATATACTTTAATGTAATCTACAGTGTATTTTCCAATTGTGTCAATTGTCCCAGTAATGTCCTAGGTAGCATTTTTTCCAATATGCAATACAGTTCAGGATCTGGTTTTGTGTTTAGTTATCATTTAGTTGTGAATAGTTCCCTAGTCATTGTTTCTCATGACATTAACATTTTTACAGAAAACAGATCAGTTATATTGTAGTGTATTTCTCTTGGTTCTTGATGTGTCAGGGATGATAGAGACTTCTTGTTTTTGCGGTCATGTTTAGGAACCACATTGATATGAAATATTAAGAATAGGTAAATTCACAAAGTCAGAAAACAGATTGGTGGTTGCCAAGTGCTGCTAGAAGGGGAAAGTAGAGTAACTGCTTAACAGACATGGTGTTTCCTTCTGAGGAACTAGTTAGAGGTGGTGGTTGTACAACATTAAAATTTTTCTTTTTAAAAAAGAATTTTCTAAATGCCTCTGAATTACTCACTTTAAAACGGTCAGTTTAATGGTACATGAATTTCACTTCAATGATGAGTTTATTTAATCCTTGTGCAAGTGATTTTGCTGCCCTCCCATATACACATCATTGATTTCTCAGCAAATAGAAATTCCATTTGAAAAAACTTATTGCGTGCTCATCTCAGTGCTTTATAATATTTAAAGAAAGAAATGGGCTAATTCTGAGTTTTGGTAGGAGAATTGATGAGCAGAAGAATCTATCATCATCACTAAATATTTAAGGTTTAATGTGTACTTCATTTAAAAAATTTCTATGTATTTATGAAGAGAAGGAGGACAAGAGTTGTTTCATGTTTTCTAGCCAAGTTACATGATTTGTTTATATTAGATAACAGGTTTTTAAAGGTAAGAAAATTCTACTACATTTATTTATTCACTTATTAATGAATAAATGACAGGGTCTTACTCTGTCACCCATGCTGGAATGCACTAAGTAGCACAGTCATAGCTCACTGTAGCCTCCAACTCTGGGGTCTCAGGCAGTCCTCCTGCCTCAGCCTTTTGAGTACCTAGGACTACAGGCATGCATCACCACCGCCAGCCCAAGTATATAAAATTTAAACACTGAATATAGTAAATTAAAATTCTAGGTCTAGATTAAGAATCTGGATAGTTTCTTTCCCTCTGATCGTGTATGTCCCAGGCTTTCCCTTTATTTACTTTTTCACCTTCAAGCTAAACGTCCACACTGGTTGAACAGAATGGAAAGTTGCTGTTTGTTAAATGTAACCTTGTTTCTTAAAATCTTAATTTGCTTCTCTCACAAATGGGAGATATGTGCCTTGCTACACTTGTGTGGATAGAAGGAAGTTAAATGTTTTGCTCAGTGTATGACATATAGTAGGTGGTAAATACAAAGTAGCAGTAATTATTATCCAAGAATTTAAGAGTGTTATCAGAAAAAGCAAGTCTTCACCTTCACCTTATTTTTGCCTTTTTGCAACTGTTGCAACTTGTCGAAATATAAATGTATTTTGTAAAAGCATTTTCACATGTAGAAAGATAAGTTTTGTTTTGTTTTTTTAAAATCTGTGTTTGAAAACAGATACCTGATGTATCAGTGTGCAGTTCTGTAATGTTTCTCATCGGTGGTTTATTGGCTTTGCTTTTTCCAGGTGAAGGCAAAGATGTTATCCCGGTTAAGAGTAGTTGTTACTCCTTGTACTTTGGCTTGTCGTCACATGCACATAAAAGAGAAAGGCAAACCGCTTATGTTAAATCCAAGGACAAATAAGGTCAGTAACACTGTATTTTCTTTCTTCCTGGTAGACAATTGATAATTTTTAGAGTGATAAAGTATGACTGTTTTGTATATTTGTGCTGAGACTGTTCAGAGGTATTTGCTTTCTCTTAAATTTTTCATGCTTCTCCACATGGCAAGAATCATGGCTGCTTTATCCCTTCTAAATTTCACTCCTCACGACTTTACCACTTAGTTCTACCTTTAAAAAACAAATTCTCAGAATAGTGCTCTGGCTAGAGCTTTTGGACAAATGTGGGATATTTAGACTTACTCTGCTCAAATAAGATCTTTTTTTTTTTTTTTTTTTTTTTTT